AAAGAGTGTAAGGAAAAAATACCTAGAAAAAATGACCTAGTCTCCCGCTAGTCCAAAAACAATAATTATAAAGAGCAGTCTGCCTAATACTGTAAACCTTTTAAATCTAACATAAACAGTGTTAACAGCCATTGCAGAACATTGTACTTTATGAGACAACATGCTGAAACAGCAAGTGCTGTCAGTTTCCACCGCCTGCTTTATTACTTTCTGAAAGCGGATCATGTCATGCAAATGATATTAGATGACATGGTTGTTATTAAATGGATTGAACCAGAGTTAAAGGGAATTAATTCAATCTAATATACAGTATGAGATATATTAAAATTTGAAAAACATCACTCTACAGTTACATATAATTACATGAAATTATGTGTTAATTTAATAACAGTAGTCTTGATGATTATGCTATGCTAATTTAGATCTAAGGTTTGATAAAAATGTAAAACTGAAATTTAAACAGGCTAAAGGTGTTATAAAACTGTTTAAACTACATGAATGTTGTTCTTTACCATATTGTATTTGAACTAGAGACTTCCACAGACAATTCACTGAAAGTTTTAATAATAATATTTAATGTAACTGAAATTGAAATGAATAAATATGAAAAATTACAGTCATTTATATATACTTGCACAGCTGGCAGGATTACGTTGTAAATCCTAACATGCACCAAGAATTCAAGTAAATTAATTACCAAGTAATTGTTCAAAAACTTCCAAGTTTAGCTAATGTGGTCTTAACAGTAAAATAAAATAAAAAAGATATAATGTATGTCAGTCTACAGTCTAGATGAACTTCATTTGGATCTCTATATAAATAGACTCACTGGCACATTTCATGCCCTGATGTATGAGGCCGTAGAGCAGAGACCCACAGTGATCACAGAAGGTGGGACTGGAGTATGTATGTACTTTAAACTTGTGTTTGCTCTTGAGATCCTGGAGAGAGGGACAAAGAAAAACATTGTACTCATTTAATTATTTAATTGTTTATTGGAAAAAGCACTTTGATGCGATTATATTCAACACAGAGGGCCGCCATGTACACCCAGTTCAGTTCTTGGAAGTAGGTTGGCCATGAGAGAAAGAAAAAGAGACTTAAATTATGTGTATGATAAGAAACCTTCTCATACTGTTCTTTGCTCTATAAATAGGACTATCTTTATGCATAGACAAGCATATGCACAAATAAACAGATGCACTACTTTCCCTCTGGTTCTCTCTCTCTCTCTTTAAAGGTCCAGAGGAAAGGCTTCATTTTGAAGTGACGTTTTCAGTGGGAGCCAATTAGCTAGGGCTATTTTGAGGATGAATGGTGGATGACTATATGAGTTCAGCTCAGCTGTGAAAACTGAATCCTCCTAAATGCCTAAACCCTTTCCACCCTGCCATGGTTTCTCTCTCTCCCCCTCATTCTCACTCTCTGCATGCTGCCTGCTCCTTTTCTTCATCCTCTGACAATCTTCCGCACCACTTCGCTGCCTCTCTGTCAGTCTGCCTCATCTGCTTTTCACACATGCATCATTGTCTACCCTTCCTTACAGCCTAGTCGCACATGCACAGCCATACACAAGCACTCCTCTGTTACCTCATTTTACAACGATATTTTTAGGTGCTTATGAAAAAAATCTCATAAAAAGTTGTAACTATGCTCCTGAAAGAGAGGGTGAAATAAAGACTGTGGCTTTGTTAAAAAAAAAACCTAGTATGCTGCCATGCTACCTACATAGGAAGCAGCCTTTTAAGACAGCATCTTAACAAGTGACTTATTTGGAATGCTTTACATGCCATGTGCCACGCAAACACTACTTCACTTTCACGTTGATTTCAAACGAGTCTCACATAAGCATGTTGCTAAGCTAACAGTGTGATACTCTAATCATAAAATACATACACAAATATATTCTTAAAAATACATTTTAAGTACACTGAACAATTTTTTCAACACTTTTTGGTATTGAATGAAATATACAACATAATCAACATTTATCTCACTTTGTCCACCATCTTGGATTAATTTTTTTCAGCGAGATTGTCACAATGCAATGTAGGAATGACTGCAACACACAGGATATAGCAAGAGACTCCCACAAGTTTGAAAAATTCAAGTCATTGAAAAGTTATACTAATAATAAAATTACTTGAATAATAATATTATTATAGTATAATTTATAGTCATTTATAAATCCTTGCATGGCTAGCAGAATTAAATGTAAATGCTAACAAGTTGTATATGCACAAATCATTTAAAAAGTTTAGTTAATGTGGTCTTAACAGTGAATAAACTTAACAATATAATATCATATAATTTTATAACTATATTATATCAAATTGTATTATATTATATTATATATAAAAGATGAACTGATTATATTATATTATATTATATCATATTATGCATAATACATACAAACACAGATATTGGGTAAGATAATCCATTTTTAATTACACTGAATTATTTTTCTAAACATTTGAATTGTATTGAATGAAATATACAGTACGTTTATAATGCACATTTATGAATGCCTTCCCCACAAAAGATTTGGAGATATAAAGAAAGTATATTTGGAGGCAGCAAAATTAAGTTGTCTGCCTTTTGAAACAACCTTTGGAAGCAGCCCATGATGTCTTTGATGAAAAGAGCTGCCTACTTAGGCTGCTAACTAGGATTTGGAACAATGGAAGTGTGTTACAATATAGCCCCTTCCTTGCTTTTCTCTTTCACACATATTCTCACACTCACACTCTGCACTACGTGAGTGTGAGTAGCAGTGTAACACCATCATATCACATCGCCTGTACGTTTTATCGTAGTGCAGCACGAATAAGAGAGCGCAAGAGAGAGGGAAAATTTATATTCTTTTTCCTTTAAAGCCACCTCTTTTAAAGAAGGTATGCAAGAGAGAGCAATAAAAGGCTCGTGAAAAAAAGGAAAAGATGATTGTGACGGTGAGACCTACTTCCATATTGGCTTACTCAGCCAAAAAAATAAATGGCTTGCCATGCAAAAATTTGAGAATGAAGAGGTGAGAGACGGATAGGGTATGGATGATACAGTAGAATAAAAGATGAACTGCTGTGATCATAGCAGAACATCAAGCATAAAAAGAAGAGTTATACGATGATCAAGCAAAAATAATGAAAGGAAAAGAAAAATAATAACAAAAAAATAATGCTAAATGGCAAAAAGATGACATGCTGTACAAATGACCTACAACCTACATACCTTGACAAAGGCTACTTGTTTTGCCGAAATGTTGGTAACTAATAAACGATACTTAAGTGAGTGTGCAGTTATATTTTTTCTTTATTTAGTTTGCCCCTTTAACTTGCACCTCTAAAAGGTGTGCGTTTGTTTTATTACTATACTGTACAAATTAACAGAGAACAACACACATAGTATACATACCTCTGCTTTGGGAGCAGTGATGGCTCCGGGACAAGTAAAAGTGACAAACTCATGGCAGCGTCTGTGCACCACAAAACTGCACACTTAAAAGAAACACATACCATATCTAGTCAGTAAACACATACTATATCAGAGCTGATGATAATCACATTGGTGCATGCTTCTTTTGGGCGTTAAATAATAGCGTAAATACCAATAAACTGACTACCGCAAACCTTAGTAAATCACCCTGCATGATTCATTTAAACACTCTCCTCCCATAAATGTTGCTTCTGGAAGGGAAACTCTTACAAATGCATATGCAATCAGGTCAGCTGCAAAAATAAATGTGTCCACGCCTTTTCATCACTAATGTTTCAATGCGTATCCTGACAGTAGTTTGCAGCAGATAGGGTTTGGCGCAAGCTGTTAGTAAATCTGGCCCTAAATGTCATATTTCATGATACATATCATGATGCAGCAAAAATACATAGTGGGATTAAATAGAGGGAATATGTTAAATTGGTACAGGTCTTTTTAATGTAGTGATGTAATGTAAGTAGCGTCAGATCTTTTCTTCCGTATTGTGACATGTATCCGAGTGAAACAGATTATCAATAAATAAATACAGGGCAAGGACACTGTTCAATCCATTTGTTATTAATTGGATGGAGGCATATCTGAATGTGAGCTTGCAGTTGATTATAAGAAAGAGGTGGAGTTTAAGCAGACTAAATGATTATAATATTTTAACAAAAAATTATGAATAAATGTAAAAATAATAATAGTAAAAAATAAACATGCATAGATGATTCGTTTACAATAAGATCAATAATGCTTGTAAAAATGGTGAATTGTCATTTTATGCTGAATTTAAGTATATAACGCTTTTGGGGGCGGGGGGGGCATTTTTGTCTTTATTAATACTGGACAGTACAGAGAGCGGACAAAAAGTAAGAAGTGAGAGAGAGAGAGAGAGAGAGAGAGAG